ACATACAGATAACTTAGACATAGATACACATAGAGATAACATATATATATATATATATATTATACACTCGCTTTTCCAGGCAAATCATAACATGAATCATAAATAAGACTTTGTAAGTCATTCTCGTTCTGTTCTGAAAATGTGTTTCTGAACTCTGTTACTGAACTCTTTTACTTAACCTTTAGGACTGTACCAGTGTTCACAGAATAAATCAGGTGGTTAGTACTTCGGAGATATACCCATATTTGAACCTACACTACATTCTGGGGCTTCATGTGACATTGAAATCGCATCCTTGTCAGAATACACCTTCTTTAAGTCACCCATTGCACCTGACTGCATGATCAGCTATTGACTGCATCTGTAGACAGTCTGGAGAGCATTTCACTCTCTTCCAGTGTTTGCTATGCATGTGAAAGCTCAGTTTTATGGTGTGCATGTTGGATTCAGAATTGCAGTTTTATAAGGTTCTGAAACTTTTGAGGTCACATGGAGGAACTTTAGATGCAAAATCACATGATCTGACACCCTTTATCCACACAGTGGTCTCACCAAATTTGCTTGGTGTGACAGAAGGTTTAGCTGCTACACTAGTAACGATGGGCAGTGTGGAAAAAGTGTAGGGCCGTTGTGAATGTGATATTATCATCCGTGCTGCACACTACGTATTCGTGAGAAATATCTGCAGAATGCTAACCCCAGCACGCTCTGCGGCTTTGTGGGCTCTGCGTGTTTCCCAAGTGTCTAGCTGAAGTTTGCACATGGCTGTGCTTTACTCAGGTGCTCTGCTTTGCATCAGAGAACAATTATAGATCATTTAGAAGCAGCGCAAAACATATCCGTATATAATGTAAACGATGTAATAATGAGGAACAATGAAGTGGCCGTCTTTTGTGAGGACTTGCAAAAGCTTGCAAAAAAGTTTCAGTGTAGAGGTTTAACACCTACACTCCCCCCCCACGTTTACGAGTATAAGTAACCGGACTGTGGAATGCTGTATAAGCCTGAGGAGGATGTATGTTTGATGCCCTGAGGGATGGTCTGGGTGCGAGTGCGGGTGGGGCCAGCAGTGTGGGGGGCTGCCAGGCCTGAAGCCCTGACAGGTGCACGGGGGGGTCGGGTTCGACAGTGAAAGGAGCCTTTGTTGCTGGGCCCTTGGCCGCAGAGAGGGGCAGCTCCATGTATGGTAGAGCCAGCAGGCCACGCTTATCAGCTGGAGACACTGGGGAGTGAGCGCGTGCCTGTGGGCCACTGTATCTCAGGGTATGTATGCAGCCGGGCAGGAAATAGGTGGGCGGGGCCAGAGGCAGCTGGAGGCGGGACATGGGCGGTCCGGAGTGGCTTTCCTTGTGAGCTGCGTCCGCGCTTGTGCAAACAAATCGGCCGAGGGCAGGAGCCAGGAGTGAAGGGATGAGCGGAGCGGCCGGTCTTGGCAGCTGCAGGGCAGGCGGCAGTGCCCCCGTGGGCACGTGCCCGGTGCTGCCCGCCTCACTCTCCTACGCAGCCATGCTTCACCCATGGGAGAGCTGGCTGGGCTCCCTGTTCACCAGGAGGATCAAGGTAACGGCCGGGACTGGGGTATGGCACGGGATGGGGGCACGGGATGGGGAAACTGCCTGCAGCACATGCTGCGTTTTAAAGATCCTTTTCCAAAAATAAATGCTTATAAATGTTTGTGTCTTTATCATTCTGTTATTTGGTGGAGCAGATTTTTGTGGTCTGAAATCAGGGCTTTGAAGGTGATTGTATGCCAGTGTGAACACAGCACCTGTCACCTGAAATGACTATTTTAGGTCACCTCAATCTTAGCGGCCTTTCTTAGAGTGATGCATACTGGGAGTTGTTAGGACATTTATACGGAAAGGCTCTTAATGACATTGGGGCTGTGACTGGTGTTTGCTCTGGTTTTACTGCGGGGAGGAGGGGGGGGGGGTGGGTAGTGGCTAGTGGGGCCCCTGGGACTCAGGAATTCTGAAACACATGTTCTGGGGCTTTAAAAACACGCGTGCAGGCTGGCTGGCAGGAACGCGGTCACCATGTGTGTGCGGCAGCACGCGTGTGCGCTGCAAAACGGGGGTGGAGGGCTTTAGGCATCGGGACCCTCGTCTTGTTAATGACTTGTGGGAGTTTCAGTGTTTGCTAAAGCAGATTATGGGCAAAGTACCAACAAGCATATCAGTACAAAACCTCATATAGCCTGTACTATATACATAAAAAAGGAAAAAGCTATATAAGGAAAAATAAATATAAGACCCATGTTATATATCTCTATATATGTAGAGCAGAGAAGAAGATGCAACCCTGGAATACTAAATGAAATTGGACAATGATTTCACTAATTTTCACTAAACAAGCTTCAAATTCCTGTACAGGTGTTTTTTTTCTTTCAAAGCTACAAACTGGAAAAAACAGCTCCTGGAAAATACTGTGACACTTAAGTAAATAAATATACACATAAATGACGTCAATGGAGTAAAGTATAATTATATTGATGACCTTAGTGGAGCACATGAAGGTGGTCAGTTGGTGAAGGTCTGGAGACGACAGTCAAAGAGCTCAAGCTGAGAGCCCATGATACGGAGAGCCCCCCCCCCCCGCACCTGTCTGCAGAGTTTGCTATTTCAGGCTGATTCTGGACTTCTGTTGCTAAAATAGGACACATAACACAGGCTTCTAGACAAACTGGTTCAGACTTGTAATGGTACATAATTTAACATTGTTATAGTAAATATAGTAAAATTTCATTGGATAAGTGGATTTCGACGCCCTGTGTTATATATTGCCGCTCTGCGGGGGTAATATCATTCACTCTGTGTTCAGATTGCCTGCAAAGCTGATGCTGAATTATAACAAGGACTTTTACCTTCATCTACAAAGCTGGTGTTCCTCTAACCGACAACTGTACACTGTCAGAAAAAAGGATACAGCGCTGGTACAGTTTTGTACCCCAAGGTACAAACAACATTAATGTACCCACAATGGTGCAAAAATGTTCCTCAGAGTCCTTTTTTGTCTTAAATATTTACCTACAGCTAGGGTAAATTTGGCAGACCCTTGAGGGTACAGCCCCAGTGACAAGTAATTGTACCCACAAAGGTACAAATTGATATTTCTTTTCTAACCGTATATCAATATTCTATTAGTGATGGTGCTCATTAAAAAGGCCATGCCAATATGACCATTCTCCTTCTGGTACCGGGGTTACCGAGCTCCTGTTTAGGTTCTGACACTCCCTGACCTTGTGCGCTGTGTGTTCCCCCACAGAACCTGCTCGCTAAGGCTCTGTATGACAATACGGCAGAGTCTCCGGAGGAGCTCGCCTTCCGCAAGGGTGACATCATCACCGTGATGGAGCAGAACGTGGATGGCAGCCATGGATGGTGGAGATGCTCCCTACATGGCCGCCAGGGGCTGGCCCCCGCCAATCGCCTGCACCTCCTCTCCCCGGCTCAGATGAGAGCCTTTGCCCAGGTTGGGCTCCAGACCCTCTGTGCTGGGAGATCGCTGACCGGCAGCTGGAGCCGACCGAACATCTATCAGACCCCCACTGTGCCACGGCCGCCCCCCAGTGAAGCGTACGAGCCCATGGACCGAATCTATAGGGTCCCTTTCAGCCCCAAGCTGAACCACGAATCATCTGGAAAAAGGACTACAGACCTACAGACCTCTATGGACAAAAAACACCCTTCACTGAAATCAGAAGGGAAAGTCTCCCCCTCCAAGGTAAAGTGTTTGAAATCAAAGCACATTATACAAAAGAATAACAATGGGTGCAGGTAATCTGGAACCTGGAACCTAAAATGATTTGGAGGTGACTGGGGGACCCTACTTTAGTTATTAATGACCCTGTCAGGAGTGGTATTGGATGAATGGAGGGGTAGAGAAATGTAAAGACACAGGAAGTGACTGAAATGCAGCAGTACGGAAGCCCCTGCTGGTAAAAATGGTAGCAGATGGAGGCCAGGGGGCCTCTCTTGTGGGACAGGCATGCTATGTCAGGCCTTTACAAGCCCATAAAAGAGAAGCCCAAAGGCCGGCTTTGGAGATTTCAATCTGCAAAAGATGGGGGGGGGGGCTAAGGACGAGAGAGAGAGAGAGAGAGGAGAGAGAGAGTGTGTTTGTTGTCTGTTTGGCTGCCTGCTTGCCCACAATCACCACTCCCCCTCCAGTTCAGTAGCTGACTCTGAGAACGAAAGTGGAATGGTTCCCATTACCTCCTCTCCGGAAAGACTGTGTTAATTACCGAAATCCAGACATTATGGAGGTTTCTGGCCCTGCAAACAATCTGGGAGAACACATTAACCGGGCACATAAAATCCCCCGGATGTGAGGGCTTGTAATTATTCAGGCAGGTGACTAATTAACATGTTTGTCGTTAAAAAATGCTGCACTGGGAAAATATTTCTCCCTCATCCATGTTGTACCTCTAGATCCCGGGAAAATGTGTGGCTGCAGCAGAAGTGTATGACGTGCCAACCCACCCACTGCGAGCGTTCACTACTGTAAGTCCCACGGCGAAGGGGGTTCAGTCAGAGAAACCAAGTGCAAAGGGGTGCATACCTTACACAATTCTTGCTGTAGTTGTATTTAAGAAAATAATGATTTATTTTCCCCATTATCAGGCATCAGATCAATCTCCTATGGTATGTAGAAAAAAAGCATACAGCTTCAACAGCAGAAACCAGAATAAAGAGACTAATGTAAACCAGCAAGTTTTCACTATAATGACAACCTGACAGGGAATAACTGCCGTTCACCTCTTTATACCCCAGAGTAAACAGCTGTCTACACTGTTACTGAGTACAGCGTCCCACACTGTTCTGCTGAAATCAAAACATGACATTGCACCACAGACAGAAAAATGTGCAAATATCACACTTTCTCAAATACCGCTTTTTGCCCAATTTCACATCCCATTTTAAGAACATTTTCATTCTCGGAACTGTTTCTAACTATAAGGACTGCATATTGGGCTCAGATTTGAAGTGTATGTGAAAAATGGGTGAAATAATATCATAAATAATATTAAATACATGTTAAAACAGACATTTCTATCTGTGCTTGTCCACTGTGTGCCGTTGTACCAACCACATTATCACTGAAAATAGAAAGCCGACACGATATTTTATGCAACTGTCAAAATGTTTGAATATTTAATGGCCTAATCGAACTTCAGTTCATTTACTTGCTCAACAAGTTCTCAGACAATGTTGCAATATTGCAACTAATATTGCATCTAATGTACTAAGCAAAACTAAGCTTAATAAACTCAATCAACACATTCTGTTAGTTTAGGGCTGAAGCTAATTTCAGACATTGAGTTGTTTGTTTTGAGATTTTCCAATTAAATGCTGTGGTGTCATTCTATTAATGTCAGGTCCATAACCTAACCTATGGAGTCCAGCAGGTCCAGGAAAACAGTGGCACACAATGTGCAGGATGCTTTCAGTGGAATCTGATAAACTGTTTTCCACACCATTTAATGTTGTCTTATCTCTAATGTTTCAGGAATCCAACTATGATGTCCCAATGTCTTTGGCTACTGAAAACCAGCAAAGAACAGCCATCAGTGGGTGCACCACCCTGCCCAACCCGCGTAAGTCCGAGTGGGTCTATGACGTGCCCTTGAAACCTGAGAAGTACCATGGCACCATGATGGCCAAGCCTAGGGGGCAGCAGGACCATATGTACGACACGCTGCCCCCCCGGGGAGCACTGACACTGGGCGCCAGCCCGGCACCACAAGCCTACGACGTCCCCAATCCCAGCCCCTGCCTGAAGAACAGGAGCACCCAGAGACCAGAGGACCAAGAGTTGATCTACGACGTCCCGCCAACGCTCAAGAGACAGGGGATCGCTCAGAAGAGTCGCGCACCTGCACCAGTCAAACCCACTGGTGACGTGAAAGAGCTGCAGCCGACCCAAGATGACGGGGACCAGCAGGACGGTCGGCCCGGTAGCGACATCTCGGTTTCCTCCACTGGCTCCTGCGAATCCTCCACGCCGAGGTCCTCGTCCCCGGAGCTGGTGCGCGAGGTGACCCTGACGCAGGACGAGGCGGCTTGTCGGCTGGCAGAGCTCCAGGAGGCCGTGTGCCAGGCCGTGCCCAGACTCATGGTGTTCGTCAGCAGCCGCTGGAGGACCAAGGACCACTTGGCTAAACACATCAGGGAGATCCAGGCTGCGGCTCAGGGCATCGCCGGCGCAATGGCCCAGTTCCTGGACTTCGTCCTGGACGTGCGGGGCAACGCGAATCAGCTGAGCGACGCTAACCTGCAGCTGCGCCTCCACCGGCAGCTGTCTATCGTGAAGGACTCAGGACTCATCCTGCAGGAGGCCATGGCAACGCTGGCCGGTGTCGGCTGGCAGCTAAACACGCTGGTCCAGGACTCCGCCCAGGCACAGACGCCCGACCAGCTAGAGCGCTTCGTCATGGTGGCACGCACCATTCCCGAGGACGTCAGGCATCTGGTGTCCATCCTGAACGCTAACGGCAAGCTGCTCTTCAGACGGTCTCAGAAGGACCATGATAAACCTGCTGGCTGTGACCAACCTGAAACAAAGAACAGCCAGATGGGTGACAAGCAGATTAGTGACTCAGGTGGAGAGGACAATGACTATGTGCACCTGCAGGTGAGAATACCTCTCGTCTCTCATATCCCCTGCCTATATCTATTATTTTAATAACAGATGCTATCAAGTTGATGGCAACTCCCCCCCTCCACTCATTCTTCAGGGTTTCACTCTTCCCAATGGCATGTTAAATGTTGTGATGACTGAGCCCAGGGGTGACTAGGGGGGGAAAATTAGGACGATTCCTACAAAATTTGGAATATAGTTTGATTGCTCAATATGATAAACATTCATGTGGTCCAAACTCTCTAGTAGCAGCCCTGACTGAATCTGTCCACCTTGTTGATGGTTGGTTGTCTACCTTCCTCTTACCTTCAACTTTCCCTATGCATTATGGTCTTCTCAATTTGCCTATATAACTGCCAAAATAATTTCTCTACATTACATGTCAGACCCTTGTCTATATATTCATAATAATGTGCCTCTGTCTTTTAGACAAAGATGGAGTTTGAGAAGCAGCAAATGATGGAGCAAAAGAACAAGAAGTCAAAACAGGTTATTATATATTGCCGCCATAGAAACAGCCACCATGTTTTCATGCATCACTAAGAACCCAGAAAACGGCAAAAAGAAATGCAATATTTCACATACCTTAAAAGTGAATACAAAATGGAAGATTTGGATTTATTACGGGTCCAAGCAGCATAGCTGTGGGAACCCCCATTATTTTTTTCTTTCATGCATTGGCTATGTCTAGTAACAAGAGCAGGGAAGCAGCTCTGTTTAGAAAGACAGCAGAGCATTTTTAACTATAAATACATTAGGTCTTTAGCCACAGGGAGAGTTTGTTGCTTTCTATTTCCGTACCCATGCAAAGCCTGATCTAACGCAATTGACTTGCATTTTCTTGTGCACAGGTGGCAGTAAACAGGCCCGTTGCTGCAGTATCGCCACATGCCTTATCAGAACACTGCCGTCTCTACTTCGGCGCCCTGCAGAAAGCCATCGGCGTGCTCGTGCACAGCCTGCAGGACGGGCAGCCGCCCGAGAGCTTCATTGACCAGGGCAAGCTGGTCATCATGGTGGGCCAGAGGCTGGTGGACACCCTGTGCAGGGAGGCGCAGGGCCAGAGCGCCGGGACGAGCCAGGACCTGCTGTACAAGGGCAACCAGCTGTGTGCCCTGCTCAAGCAGCTAGCGGTAGCTACCAAGAAAGCAGCGCTGCACTACCCCGACAAGACAGCCCTGCAGGAAGTGGAGGACTTCGCCAAAGAACTGGCCCACCGCGCACAGCATTTCCGGACCCTGCTTGATCAGAGTGCTGTCAGCAGGGAATGAGCTCCCCTCTGATACTGGCCAGAACTGGGCACATGTGGCAGTGACCTCTCTCCTCATACCAGTGCATCCCTCACCATCCAACGTAGCGATTCTGGTCTTTTTTTTTTGGCCTGAAAATCATTGACGTTGTTGACCTCGTTAATCGTCAGACAGTGAATTTTTTAATATATCGTATACTTAAGCTAGAAAACATGAAGTGGAAGAATTCTGTCAGACAAGGTAGTGAGTAATGACACAGATAGTATAAATATCAGCTATGGTGTGTGGGCTGGAACCAGAACAAAAAGCCGAGATGATCCCGACTATAATTATTCATGTTAAAGGATGTAAATTAAGGAGCTACATGTTAATAGTAAAAAAAACAGAAGGTAGTGTGGTACAGCCAGTCATTTTGCAACTGCTTATTCTGAATCAGGGTTGTGAGGTTAAGTGGGAGAGTGGCCTCAAAAACTTTGTTTTAGGTTCTTAAATGGGCAGGCTCTTTCAGTCTTCTGTTCAGTCACATTAATGCAACTGCAGTGATATATTTATATACGGTTTACTGTCAAGTATTGAGGAAGTTCACCAAGAAAAAGACTTGCACTCTACTTTTCCCAATTTAATATGAATCTTCTGAACTCAATTCATGTATACTATAAAAGACTTATGTATTACTTTGACGGACTTATGTATTTTTTGTACAGTTTATTCATAAAGATATTTCTGAATTTTTGAATGTCTTGAATATCTGTATTTTATTTTTTTTTTCCACAAAGCTCAGCACCCACCCACTCTTGTATTTGAGATATGTACAGCATTTCCTGTGTATACAAACCAAATCCCAAATACTCCCACTGGCATTTTTGTCTTAGCCTCCTTCATTGAGAAAATGTGAACCTCAGTAGAAAGACATTACATTTCAGTGTTATTATAGATTTTACCCAAGGATTACATTGTAGACCTTATTTGTTCTGCGTATTTTCCCATTTGCAAATTACATAACAAGGGACTCTATATTCCTACTTTTAATGACTTATCCTGAAATCTTTATTGTATCTTAATTCATGTTTAAATTGCTACACATATGAAAGGTGTCCTCTTTTTGAAGAAATGCCTGAGACGGTCACTGACTGTTGTTTCTACGCCATCTAGTGGTAAATTTAAGCCATATATATTATGTAAGTTTGAGTGCAGGCGGCTCTCGACTTACGACAAACGGACTGGAGTAAAATTCTTATTTACGCAAACCCTTACAGAAGCGCTAATGCAAAACAGCAAAATACGCCTTTAAGTAAACCTACAATTTTCATTTATTTATTATGTGTAATGCGTATTACCAGTATATGTTTGGCTTGTGTATTTTTTACTATAAGGTGTCTTGAATGGTATTGGAAGGTAAATCCAGTGCAACAACAACAAAACTTTTCAGCAAGTAAATGCATTAAGAAAATGACAAGCTTCAACAAGTATTGTCTTCAACAAAGACAAGAAAATAACCCAGAAGTTCAGTAAGTCTTCTGCAGCACTGCTGCCAGTATCAGATACTAAAATATTACTCACACAGCACCAAGGAAAGGAGTTTCCCATCTGATGAAATAGTAAATCACAACCTGGCCATAAACTGAGAGAAACATACAGGTATAGCTCACAATGGAGACAGTATCTACCCATCCATCTTCCATAAATGCATGCTTTCACCCAATACAGACACCAGTTAGCTTTACTGTATGTCTTTGACCTTTGGGAGGAAACTAACATACCTGAAGGAAACAAGTGGAAAATGGGGAGATGCAAACTCCACACAGATTATGAAGGCGGGATGCAAACCCCAAGCCTAGAGGGGTGAGGTAACAATATTGGACACTGAGCAGCTGGGACATAGGCAGCAACAGACACTGAGTATACAGGAATACAAGCCACACAGAAAAGTAACTCTAGGCCAGAGTCTCTAACTCCAGTCCTGGAGAGCTACTGGCCAGTAGGTTTTCTATCCTGCCTGACTTCATATGAGCGACACCTGTTCCTGGTATTTACCTGAGAACAGATGTGGCTCATCAGAAACCAGGTAGGATGGAAAACCTACTGAATGGTAGCTCTCCAGGACCAGAGTTGGAGACCCCTGCTTTAGGCAGTGGGGTAATGAACTGTTTTATGTTAAATGTGTGGAACTATGGGTTAGGACACACTGCTGGGTCAAATTGCATGGCTGGCAGAGTGATTTTATGATTGGACCCTTGAGCAAGTCCCTTAACCCCAATTGCTCCTGGGACAGCGTCTGACCCTGCTTCATTATCATTAGTTGTGTGTTACTCTGGATAAAATCATCTGTAACTGTAAAAAAAATAACTGTAAACAAATGCATCCAAATGCTCTTCACAGACAACATTAGTATCTACATTTTACACAACAGTTTGACAGACCGTAGGGGTCTTAAGCAGAGTTCCTTCTTGAATAGATGACGGGAAACACCCGGATAGTGTGAGAAAGAGATGGCATTGATTTTGAATACTGACTTTTTAGACCCTGAACTGGCAGATAACTTGATGTAGGGAGCTGTAGTGACCTTGAAGCGGTGTAGGGTTCCATGAGATGTGGTGGTATGGTTCTCTTGGCAGTCTTACACTGCAGCACAAAGGTCTTCAACCTGATGCAAGTTCCAACTGGCAGCCGATGGCGAGAGATCAGGAGGGGGCAAATATGTGAGCGTTTAAGGAGGCAAAAAAACAACAACAACAGATCATACTGCTACAGGAAACCACTGAAGCCTGTGCGATGGCAGATATCCTGTGACCATTCTGCTCTTGCCTCAAACTTCATCCATTGCCTCTTTCAGATGGTTCGGCACCTCCCCAGTTAACCATAACTGCTTGGCAAAATGTCAGCTGCAGTAACAGCCTAGATGCAATTCCTTCCAGTCACACATAAATTGAAGATATATAAATGAAGTTTGTACTATACATAAAATTGTCTCCTTCTATCCAGTTGAAGCCTACGTACAAAACACCCACTTTTATACCATGTATTTAAGTCACTATTATTTATATTTGATTTATATGTGATTCAACTTTTTAATATATATATTAAAATATATATTATAATATATAATTGACATTAGTGTGTGTGTGTCTTTAAAGACTAACGATAAATTCCGTATATTGTAACTCTGCCCTACTGAGGAGATTACACTCTTTTCCATACGTACAAAGCACTCTGATCCTGTAAGACAGCACTAACTAGTTTGTCCGACTAGGTCTTATGACATAGTAGAAAAATAGGAGAAGACACGAGGCATGTTTAGAATCGTAACAGAATGTATGGCTTTCATTTTAATAATATTACCCAAGCATCCGATTTGGCTATTTCATTAATACAATATGATTTTTTTACATTTTAGAACAACGAGGACCGTGGGCGGACGTCACCTGTTCACAGCACACCCTTTCACTGTCTACTACATCTGACATCTTTCTGACAGAGTACACTGCCGATTCATGTTTAACAACTCCGGCATGGGTAAAATTTACCCGGTGAGTTTTCGAGTACTGTGACTTTCTGAGTGGGGAAAGTGACGGCCGCCCCCTCCTGTTTCTTCACTTTACACTAGACGACAGTGAAGTTACAGTGGCCGCGAGACGCCCACCGTGGCAGGCTCCTCCTTTCCTGTGCACGGTACGTGCCCTGCGTCACTGTGCCTCCTTCTCTGCACACCAGACACATCCATAGACATGGCTCCGTGAGACGGCACATGGCGGCCAGCGGCCATGAACCAAAAAATAACTCACCAAAAACAAAAACAACAAATGCATCTGTAACAACCCGATTTAATTTCTTTTCGGATTTTACAATTCCAGAAACCGACAACGACAATATTTCAACCATTATCTTGATAGTTTATGGGGAGTAGGTAATAGCAACCTCCCGATTTAAATATATTTTTTTCGCTTTTAAAATCTCTTAGTTTAAATACTTTTTTTTCCCAAAGGCAGCCAACATGGGCGTGCAAGGTTTCCAGGAATACATTGAAAAGCACTGCCCAAGCGCCGTAGTACCGGTGGAGCTTCAGAAGCTAGCTCGGGGGAGCCTAGTTGGGGGCGGCAGGCAGCGACCACCCCAAAGTCGGCTCAGGCTTCTCGTGGATGCTGAAAACTGCCTCCACCGGCTCTACGGCGGATTTTACACCGACTGGGTGAGCGGAGGCCAGTGGAACCACATGCTAGGTTATCTAGCCGCTCTTGCTAAGGCCTGCTTTAATGGCAACATTGAGCTCCTGGTATGCTTCAATGGCGCCCTGGAGAAAGGCCGCCTTCACGAATGGGTCAAGCGACAGGTGAACGAGAGGCAGACAGCGCAGCAGATCGTCAGCCACGTCCAGAATAAGGGGACTCCACCGCCAAAGGTCTGGTTCCTGCCGCCGGTGTGCATGGCCCACTGTATCCGACTGGCCCTCCTCAGGTTCCACATCGGGGTGAGTACATGTCACGCTCGCCTGTCTGGGTAAGGGAAGTCGGGCTGGCACGGCAGCTGGCCGAACTCGCTGACGCCGGTAAACGGCAACGCTCCGCGCTCTCGCGTGCCTCCTCACGAACACCTGGGTGAAGTTCACGCGGCTAACTAGTTGGCGAACTAGCTCGCGTCTGCGCGGCGCGGGGGCTTGTGGAGAAAATGTCAAAACCGTGTCAAGCGCGGCCGACTGAGACGTGACATTTTCGTGTCGTCCGAAATTCACCCCCGGGCGCCAGTTACCGGGCTGGCCGCGTCCCTGGCGAGCGCTGGGCTCCCCTAAAAAAACTTTAGCGCTGGGCTCTTTTAAGTCTTTAGCTAGCTGTGGCGTTCGGCTATCTATGGCTACCGACCATCCGTTAGATGACACGTCTCGGTAGTTCACGAAGAATCGGGGGGGGAGGGTAGTCTGTTTACCAAATTGACTAACGATTTCATTGAAAATCAGATGTAGTGATTTTGTTTTCTTAAGGGGGGGCGGACGTTTTGCCTTTCCCATCGATATTAGCTGTTTAATAAGGGAGTTGCCATGTTGACGAGACGTGGAGCAAACTGGTTTCACGGCTGTTTAGCCAACTATGCTCCCTGCTACCAACTGTGGCTGGCTAGCTAGATAGCTAATGACTAACTAGACAGACGGGTAAAGTAATTTCATCTAAGATTAGGGTTATTGCTAGGAAGTCGTAAAATGTGGAAGCCCGAGTAATTAAAGGGGACATGCATTCTCCGTGACAATTTGACTTAATTTTAGGTATATAGTAGTAAGAACTGTCGTCCAAATAAAAATATTCGGTTTAGTTAGAGAGAGTTACCTGCTTATCTGTCGGTAGAGTTATTGGGACAAATGTATCGTTGCCGGGCAAAGGTCAGAACAGCGGAAATGTACCGTATCCTGTTCCTCACGGTGATTTTATATAAAACATGCATAACTCATGTAGCTTGTCTGGAATTACATAGCCATATTAAATCGTGTGCATTTAAAGAAAGGTTTCACCTGATAAATATTAACAATGCCAAGCTAGTATTTGTGCAAAACAGTACGGTAGCTCAGTGGGTAGCACTGTTGCCTCGCGGCTCGAGGGTGGGGGGGGCTTATCCAGCATCTGCTCTCTGTGTGTAGAGTTTGCATGTTCTCCCTGTGTTTCCTCCTGGTACCCTGGTTGACATGCAGTTAAGCTGATTGGTCTTTCTGAATTGCTTACAGTGTATGATTGTGCAAGTGAATGTGCCCTG